GCTGATTGGCGCCGTGGTCCTGAATATGTGCTGGAGCTGGACCTGCTCCTGTCGCTGTTTGTGTTATATTAGGCTTAAGGGCAGCCGCTGGTGGCCAATCTGTGTGCCTCTGTGGAAATCTTGCATAAAGTTAAAAGTTTTTGAAGTTGCACAGATGGGTGTCTTATTATTTCCCTCTTGATTTGCTAATACATCGCTCTACAAATATCCCCAAAACTTCAACTCAAGTTTTCACTTGTTGAGTTTGGTGTGGATTGATTTCCATGCTAGTTGAGTGGCTTCCTGAAATAAACTTAAACGAGTTAATTTAGTTTGACATGGAAAAGCTGACGTCTTTCTGTTCTTTCTCTTTTGCTTTTCTGTTTTCAAGGCAAAAAAAATGAAATTGATTTTGGTGGCTGAACCTTTATAAGCTGCATTTAAAGCATGGTTTGGTAAAGTAAGTAAAAATGATTTAATTTAGTTTCAGGTATAGATAAATATGGCCAAAAAAATACAGTAGGGAACAGTTTTTTCTAATACTGTAAGTAATCAATAATTTTAAAGAAAGTTAACCAACAATAGAACAGTGTCTAATTGAAGTATGCACTATAAAAATTATAAAACACATTTCTACTTTAGTTTTTATACTTAAGATAAATATAAATAAAAAAATGATAAATAATAATAATATGATTTTTTGCAAATCGATTAATTTATTGATTATTTTTTTGATTAATGATCGGATAACCAAAGGTTACCAGGGGAAAGTAAAACGTTTCCACTTGAAAAGTTCTGCATAGAGCAGATTGATGGATGAAATTGTTTTTTTTAATTTAAAATGCAAAATATTTACATATTTTTTTTTACAATTTACTGCTCTAAGTGGGTCACTCTGTCAGCTAAAGGCAAGTCTCTATAATCCCCTTAACGATTAATCGATTGCTAAAATAGTTGACGATTATTTCGATAATTTATTAATCATGATGAATCCGATGAATAGTTTCAGCCCTAATAATTATAATAATTATAATAATAAATGAGGACAGAACAATTAGATAATTGGATTATGAACAATTATCAAGAATTAACATGAAAATCCGTAGGAACCATGTATTACATGTGGGCTCAGGTGTCACTAAACTGTGATGCAAACACAATCATTTAGCAAAGGTTCAGAAAGTAAATTGCCTGCCTAGTTTCCTTCACCTTAACCAGGTGGTTTTAACCATCGGTCTCAAAATGAAACCTTAGAAGGCCGGTGTCCTTCAGTCTTTAAATGTCTCACTTGTAGGAATGAGCCGGTGTGAAAATCTAACAGGAGGTTCCAGTTTTATGGCATCATGTTACTGTAGCTATAGCACTAAACTGAGTTCTTTCAAAATATCTGAATTAAAGAAACATAAGAAAATGAAATGTTTGCTGAGGTGGACCACCTGTTGCTCACAGATCCCCTTCTCTTCTAAAAGAACAATTCAGACAGAGTAGAATTTAACCTAAATTCCCAATTAAATTGACAATTAGCAGCATAAACTCTTTAATCATAGCCAACTTTAATTGTCAGCTAAAGCTGTTTTTAGATCAAAGTGTCATGATGAAATTTCTCTCCCTTACAGGGTCTCATTCCTCTTTAACATTTGTTTCATACTTTGCTCTTTTGCACCTAATACAATTAAGCTATAGTGATGAACAAAGCTTAAATATAATAAGGTGTTTCCACTGCCTGCATAACCAAGACAAACCAGACTATTCTTAAATTTTTTGTTGTGTTTTAGATAAAGATGGATCCATTTGATTTAATCATCGTTATCTGTCCCAATACTAAAGGAAAGGGTAGATCAGGCATAGGTGAGAATTGGCCCGATCCAAATGTTATTTAATCTATTTTTATAATAAGTTTTAGTGAGATTAAAAATCTCTTCTTCAATTCAATTCAATTCAGTTTATTTATATAGCGCCAATCACAATACAAGTCATCTCAAGGCATTTTACAGTTCAACCAGATCATACAGTCAAATTGATTCAAAGCTGTCTAAGAAAAACCAGTTGATTGCATCGACTCATTGACTGAAATGCAATCTCTCA